TGCATCTGGAAACAATATTGCCAGTGCTTCTAAGGATGGCACAGTCAGGTTTTTACTTTTGGATCTTTGAAGTAAATCAATGCTGTATCATTAAGTGGTTCCTTATATGGGCTTTTATTTATTCACTGTGGCAATTCTAAGGGATAGCTGACAATAACCATTTTGTCTTTATATTTGTTGTCATTATCATTTTCTTTCAATCTATTTACAATTGAGATTAAGGTGGCTTGGTCAAGTTATCAAAGGAACTTCAAAGTTAAATTAATTATTCATTTCCTTTTTGTCGTGGAGGCCATTGTGGTCATTCTCTCCTTTTATTGTTATTATTCAAGTGTTGTTGATTTTGATGGCACTAAGTGCTAGAGCTAATATATCTATTTGACTATCTAGTTCAGTAAGCATTCTAGATGTGCTCTGGATAAGTCTACTCAACTCTTTTTAGCCTCCTGGTTCAATTGCCTCACAAGTTCTGTTTGTTATAATGAAGGATATGGACTTATGATGCATCAACTCCAGCATCAAGAAATGCAACCATCTATTCTGGTGCAGAGATCATGTCACTTGAGTGGGATTGTAAATCAGACCGTCTGGTATGTAATTCATCATCATATGTTGTTAATAATCCTTCTCATGTTGGGAAATGGGGGATATTTTTTGATTTATGGATCAGAAATTTATGTAATCACTGTTTCTTTTTGTTTATTGTTTTCTTGATGACAAAAGCTTCTATTGGCACTGCTGATGGAGGCATTAAAGCTTGGAATGTTGATGCAAAGAGAGTTGTTTGTGACCTCAACACAAGTGAAGCATTTCCGAGGTTCTAATTGAGTATCTTTAACCTGCGTGATATACATACACACATATACTTGGTCTTTGTTTTTGCTTAACTTTATGCTTTTGGTGTACTACAGCATTTTGGATTTAAAATGCAGCCCCGTCGAACCACTTTTTGTTTCTGCAGCAGCATCCAGGGGTACATTCTTCCTAGACATATTCTTTTGAGAGTTTCTAAACCTACTCTGTTGTTTGAGTAACTGAGAAGGACATATCCTTTTCAAGATTCTGATTGCATCAAATGCATTGTCAAATGACCTTTTTGCTTGTTTTGATGACAAATAGCTGAAGAGCACATGCATTAAATTATCAATTATGTGTTTGCAGCTCCATTTTGGAGCTTAAACAACTTCCAAAGTTTAGTCTTTATCAAGTTTACCTTCCTATATTTCTCTTGATTCGTAAGGATCAATACTGATTAGTGATTTCAGGTTTTGTATTGTTTTAGCTTCAGTTCTGTTACTCATAAATCGTATTCTTTTCACATTCAAGCTTTTCTTGTATTGTATTCTCGGCATTCTGGTTTCAGCCTAATTCATCCTTGGAACATGTTTCTTAATTAACTGCCCAGCTATGTACAGTGCAGTGTAATTGGTTTCATACCGTTGCCATCAAGTGTTCCTTTCACCTGGCCAGAATCTAATGGTCACACAACAATTTGCATGACCTTTTACAATTTGTTAGTGGAAATTACTTGTTGACTATCTCTGATAATGTGCAAATGAGATTCCCATCTTAGATATTTTCTCAAAGGTTCAATGGGTTATCCTGTTATTGTTTATTGTGCATTGTGAGTAATTAAAAACTTAAGTTAACCCCCTCTCTGTAGAATATTGAGTTTAATAACGAGTAAGTGTTTAGCAATTTAACATGCATGTTTCTGGAATATGGTTGCAAAACATTCTCACAACCTCGTTATCTTGTAGGCATGCACAACTTATATGGATAAGTTGGGATTTGCAAGCTTAACCGTCTGGAACATGAAAACATGGAAGACTATGGTATGTAATTGCTGTTCCACAGACTGCATTAGTCTGGGATATTTAGGTTTTTCTCACAGCAGCCATTACGTTTTAATATTCTCTTAACTTTATTGAAGACAGTCCTGCCTCTTGGCGAAGATCCACCAGCAATTACTTCCTTATGCTTCAACCATAATGGGAAGATTCTAGCAGCTGCAGCAACTGATGGAATGATTCACATGTTGGTATCCTTGTGTTATATTCTTGTCTGAAGAACCACTATCATTTCTCTAAATTAAGTTTTTAACATACCTGACACACCCTTGTAACAGAAACACAAAGCTATTTTCTTTGTCTAAAATCTATTTGGAGCACAGAAGGGTTGGGGCATGGAGAAGGGGATTCTGTGAAATCGGCTTTGCATGGTAGTTGCCCCTAAGGAGTAGTGTTATGATATCCTGCAGATATGAGTGCATGTGTGCACTTCCTGAAAACATAATGCATATGCCTTAACTTGGCAAAGATATGTCAGCTGGCTACAAGTTACTGGTTGGCCAGCTCATGATTCTGCTATTAGTTCTATTCTTTTTGGGCCTGATGAGACTAGCATCTTTAGCTTGGGAATAGATGGCAAGGCATGTGTCTCCATTCCCTTGTGTGGTTTTTGACTTGAGTTTGTTTTAACCTCCGTTTCCATTAGATGTTGAGACCTAACCAAATTATTGTCCTTTTCAGATTCTTGAATGGAGCTTACAAAGCCAAGGCAAAGTTCTTTGGTCAAGAAACTGCAGCAGGTACTTGGATCATTTGCCTAATTTTATAATAAAGGAGTTACTTAGGCTTTACTAGTTGATTGAAATTTACTACTCGATTAGGGGCTAGTAGTTTGTCCTCAGAATAAAACCCATTCTCAAATAATTACCTTTTGATTTTCTGTACAAATATATTATGATCTGTATTGAGGGATTTCAGGTAATTTAAGGAATTATAGCCACTTGTTGGATATTATGCAGATTCTTGAACTGGGAGAACTCAGCGAACTGTAGACATGAAATGGCTTTAGACGCTAAAGGAAGGAACCTTTTAGTGACGTCTGGTTCAGTGAGAGCACCCCTGTATCATGTAAATCTCCTTCACTGTTTGTCTCTCTGGCATACCCCCTTTCTCTTTGTTACCCCCTTTCTTTCTTTTGTTAACCTCATACTGATTAAAGCATTGTATTGTCAGGTTCGAGGTCATACCTGTGGAATGAAAACTCTACCTCATAGTGCTGCTATAACTACTGTAGATTGGCACCCAACCTTGCCCATTTTCTTGACTGGTTCTGCTGATCACTCAGTCCGTGTGACATCCTTGTTATGAAGGTTCTCGTCTAATTATTCATTAATTCCTAGCTTTTAAGGGCATCACTCAATAAATCTCACTTCAGGCAATGTTACAACTGAAGTTTCTCATTGGTGGTCGTCAATTGTTCAATATTGCGGTGGAGACAACAGGCTGCATCATTCAATAAATAGTTAGGACTTGATAGATCTAAGTCAATGTCACTGCTGCTCCAGTGGAATTTGGTTCCCCTCCTTGAAAAGGATGTCTGGATTTTACAATTGGAAAAGAAATGTTATTAGCTGTTAAATGCCAGAAGCAGGAGCGTAAGCCATCCATACAGCTCATGTATACCCAAAATACAAGCATCTGCATAGAGATGTTTTTGTTTCCTCTCCAAGGGTAAAATTTTGATTATGTAAACAATTTTATTTACAAGAGTAAAGAGATTAATGGGATGTGATATGCTGAAACTACCTAATGAGAAATTGAAGAAGCGGATGGTTGAGTGATAGGTTGTTCTAATCAGCTGGCAGATAATGTAGTCTTTGCATAGCGAGTGATTGAATGCTAGTTGTTTCTTAACATCCAAATTTAGACCATTCACTTGCAACTTTATTGTAGTCTGGAATCTGATGCTGGAAGTTTTATTTTCAACCTAATGTTCAATATTTAAACTTTTGGAAAAGACAATTTTATCTAAATTTTCAAACAAACGATAATTTTTACTGAAGAATGACTAAAATGATAGTAATTATGTTTGAAGACCAAAATACCTTTCTTTAGAAGTGTAACTAAATTATGTATTCTTTTTATTGTTGTGTTAATAATAGATAAAATAAATAAATAATTGTATTTTTTACATGATGGTATTTAATATCAGGACAAAAAGTGATACGTTTACATTATTATTACCAAAATCTTGTAAGGCAGTTTCCCTCTGTTTTATGTAAGCTAACCCTAGGCATTTAAGATGCCTAATCTCATTTTGGAACAGCATAAATGAACAGAATGCAGTCCTTATCTATGCCGTTGTAATCATTCTTTTATGAGAAACGTTTACATGAGATTCCATGTGTTGGAGATAAATTATGTATAACAAGGTCAAAAGCTAACCTATGCTGCATTCTTATTCATCATCCTCGAAATCAATTACCATCCTTAGCTTCCTTCTTGATGCAGCATCAGTTTGGGTTGCAACAGCACTTGGTTCATCTTCAAAATCTGATAACTGATCAACAAGCTCATCATGCAACTGTTGATGCTCCAGAATATTTGCATCATAAATAAACATGTCAGCCACTTGCTTTCCAGTGCCAATGCTTCTCGCTTCAGCTTCTGAATTGGCATTATGGTTGACACTACCATCATCATGGTCAAAAACCCGGTTGCCAGTAGGCTCTTCAGGCTCATCCCTGCAAGAATCTCTTTAGGCATGTTTGCATTTTCTTTAAAAAAAATTATATTGCTATTTCTGACAATAGAAAACTTGTTTGGCAGGTTGTTATTGAAAATTGTTTCCATGACAACTTTCAGAAAACAGGCCCATTTTTAAGGGAAAAAAGGATTTTCTTTTCCTATTAAAAAAAAAAAAAAAGAAACAACAAAAATTTCAAGATTTTCGTTGTTTTCTGTTTTCACACAAGATGGGAACTGAGAATAGAGAACAGAATACAAATCAAAACTGACCCAAAGTTCTATCAAAAACTAACGCATGCTGGTCATTCCTTTGTTGTGCTAAGATTGTTGCGGTGAAATCTACAGTCAATGGAGGAATTTCCTAACAAAAACTAACATGCTAATGAGAATCAACACAGGGCAGTTCCAATTCAAAATTTGTAACCTTAACTACATACACGGGTCAACAGAGGAAGCCAAATATTAACTCTGGTCATAAGCATGGAACTCAAGTGCCCAAGCCAACATAGGTACTCTCCATCTACTCAACTACTAGCATAACATAGCAGTTCATCTCAAATGGATCAAGTGATGCTGAATCACCTTACTTCAAAGGTAATCACATTCAAAATTTAGCCGGGAATGTCCAAATATTTAGTATCTTTGTATGAGGTTGATATTTCCTAACCTAAAATACCATAATGCGTGAAAATAAGGCGTTGTGATGTTGAGAAGGTATAGGTTGGATGCATACTCCAAACAATATGCAGATTATTCTTGTTTTGATGTCTGATCTTGCAAGAGTTCGATTTCTACCATAAAAGTGTAATGGCAGAAAAGATAAGCCACACAAGCCATTAAGAAGGGAAGTTTCTGAATAAGCAAATATACCTTTGAATATGCTGTCCGAAGGCTGAGTCTTTTTGAATCACGGTATTCCTAAATGAAGTGGTGAGCTCTTCATCCTTTGTCTCTGGAAGCAGTCGCCTAGTTTTCCTATGTCAATAATCAGGTCAAGACAACAAAAGATGGCAAAAAACAGAGAATGAATGATTTGCCACTCAAGGTCAGATTTGGAGATCAATACGGCATTGTAATCAGAAGGAAGACCCTTAAACTGAAACCGAACATTCAGTGAATTTTTCATCACACTATTTTCTATACTTGTGGGCATAAATGAAGCCAGATGCTTATTTATAGCTGCAATTTTTTCACGAGGACAGACAAGTCTCTCCTATCTCATCTTGTAACTTGGACCATCCAAATAGTTCAGGATTTTATATCAAAAACAAGAAAATAAAAAAGGAAAAAAAATATATTAGCAGGAAACATTGAGTATAACCTTTTTATTTGTTCTCTGCCATTAGTGCAGTTTATTACAGTTTGAAATGTCAAAGAAACAAGAAGGTAAAACAGAACACTCTTTAAAGCAGGTCACTAATGTCTCAGATCAGAGGTAAATGATACTCTTTCATATATGCTACAAGGAAAATAATGTTCAATCAGTTGTTATTGAGAGGGAGTGCTTACCTCAAAATAGACCCCAGCAATTCATTATCAGAATTGCCTTCTGAAAATTTTTCTTCGATGTTCTTGCCTGTCGCCTTGACATCTTTTTCAAACTTCTTGCTTTTGTTCCTAAAATACCAAAATCAACCAAGTTCAATGAGAATATCCAGGTAAAAAGGGAATATAACCTTGCTAAGGATGTCTCAGAGTGTATCCTGAATACAAGGGATATCACAACTAGTAACTACTGTTTCAAGTGTAACACAACATAAGAAAATGCCACGTCACAGCTTATTCAGTTAAAAGTGCATGCTTGCATCAACTTCTGTTCTATTAAGAAAACAGTGAATAATTCTAACAAATTTCTTTAAAAAACATATTAGCGGGACACAATGAGTATAACTTTTTTATTTGTTCTCTGCCATTAATGCCGTTTATTACAGTTTGAAATGTCAAAGAAACAAAAATGTAAAACAGAACACTCTTCAAAGCAGGTCACCAATGTCTCAGATCAGAGGTAAATGATATTCTTTCATATGTCATACAAGAAAGCTAATGTTTCAATCAGTCATCATTGAGACAGAGTGCTTACCTCAAAATAGACCCGAGCAATTCATCATCAGAATTGCCTTCTGAAGATTTTTCTTCAATATTCTTGTCTGCCACCTTAACTTCTTTTTCAATCTTCTTGCTTTTGCTCCTAAAATACCAAAATCAACCTAGTCCAATGAGAATATCCAAGTAACAAGGGTATATAACCCTTGCTAAAGGATGTCTCAGAGAGAATCTTGAATACAAGGGATATCACAACTAGTAACTATTGTTTCAAGTGTAACACAAAATAAGAAAATGCCACATCACAGCTTATTGGATTAAAAGTGCATGCCTAGTTGCATCAACTTTTATTCAATAAAGAAAACATTGAATAATTCCAACAAATTTCTTTAAATTTGTCTCAATTCTAAGTCAGAGAATCTTAAATGGAATAAATCCTTGGCTGTAAAAGAATTGTATGAACCTGTCTTCAATAATCTAGTCTCCCCCATCCCCCCCCCCCCAAAAAAAAAAAAGACTGGCCCACATTTTGAGAAAAAACAGAGCACAGAAAATTAAGTTAGATTCTAAAATTATAAATAAAAGATGATTCTAAACATTATTTCTGTTATAATAGGGAAACAGTACATGGTTCTCCGGCCTCAGAAAGCTTGGAAGAAGCAATTGTTTCCAAAGGTGGAAGTTAAGTGGAAATTGAATGTGATGCCATGGCATTAGTCATGCCAAGGGAAGAGGATTGTTAGTGAACACATAGACAATCCCACAGCACTATTAATGCAGAAAAATGAGGCTGAAAAAGACAGATGACAAGAGAACTGGTTAATAATCAAATATCATATGACATTTATGGGAATCTATGGTAACAATGAAAAGAAAACATGGGTCTTACTTTTTGTGTTTGTTAATTTTTAACTGGGAAAAAAATTATGAGTACCCACATTTGGTCTCATATGTGTCATAAAACACTGCAAATTTTGACGCACGACATATGGCCACTGGAGCACTTCTTCCATTGAACCTTACAGGTTTAGAATATTTAAAACAAGTACCTTTTCCTTAGTGATAATAAGGTTTCATCATCAGAGCCTTCTGCAGTTTTTGCTGAAAAGCTATGAAGATCTTCATCCCTCAGATGGAAGTCAGATTCAGATCTCTTCTGCTTGGTAACTCGAAGGCCAAGTTGTTTAAGTTTGCGTGAAACTTGTGCTGCTGTGAAGGTGCCATTGGTGTCCAGTGCATTTGCAATCATGTAGCTACACCTCTTGTGATCCTTAAACCTGAAGAATGCAGAGAACAGGGTTGCTGCTCAGGATTTTTTTAATATGGACTTCTAGCCAAATCAAACAGAAATATTAAAACCAAAATTGTAATATAACTCAATCACTCACTGCTCAAATAAAGCTTTGATCATCATCTCCTGGTCGTGACTGAAGGCCCGAACCCTTTTTCTAATGTGCCTGAGAAAGAAAGAAAAAGGGCTAGTCAACTCACCCCTCTTAGAAAATGCTTTGGCTGTTTTAAACTTTACTGAAAAGAAGAAAGGCAACCTTTTCATGCAGCCAAATTGTTCTCTTGACAGCAGAGAACTTACAAATGTATTTGCACTAATTTCAATTCTTAAAATTCATTCTATTGCATAACAAAAAAACACATTGATTTACATATTAGTTCTTGACTTCCTAATAAAAGGCTATATTATCAAACGCTATCAATAGAAAGGACTTGTTGACAACTCAATTTGAATGCTCAAAACCGAATTCATTCAAACATTTTTAAATATAAGTTCTTTTTTGATAATGTTAGCACCTAATAACTTAAATTTGAAAACTAGGTGAAAATGGGTTTGAAATTTTAAGTGAAATAAATTTCACTTATTGCTGAACTACTGAATATGATTAGAAGTAGGTAGTTTTCATTGTCACTCAACTATTTCATATAAGGTCCAAGTTGGTCTCCTAAAATAATAGAAACATATTCCTATTGCCCCCCCCCCCCCCAAAAAAAAAAAAAAAAAAAAATTCACGTTAAATCCTTTTAGGTAAGCAATTATAATTGCCCAAGCAGTTATTTCAGCATCATGAGCAGTATAAAGAATGCCAAATCCAACAATCACACTGTGCAATACTTACAGAGGTTGGCTCAATGAAGAATTCTCGTTCAACTCATCATTGTTAGGATGATTTTTTCTTATTTTGTAATTCCTCTTCTCCTTCAGAATGCTGGCTAGAGCCTCCAGCTTTAAGTGTCCTTTTCTTTGGCTGAATATGTAGCCCAAGCTGTTTAAGTTTGTTGGAAACCTGAGCTGGAGAAATTTTTCCATCTGGATCAATGGCTTCAGCAATGAGATGGCTGCATTGCCGATTGTCCTTGTATCTTGAATTGCAACAATTTTTCAGTAAATATTATGACAAAAGAAAACAATCAGAAAAGACAAAGGAATGGCATAATCCTGAACAATCATATCAACATAGCTCATGACAAGACTAAATGCAAAGAATAAAAGAAAAACATATATAATCCTTCAAGATGATTTCTTTTTCATTTACATTAACTTGCTAATCCTATTAATTCTAATTCCTTTCATTGTGAAAAGTTGGTGTACAAATCAAAGATGAACTTCCTGATCATTTCCATCTTATATAAATGTCAAATAAGTGTCTTTGTGTCATAATCAAAGTAGCTTTTTTTTTTTTTTTTTTCCTTTTTTTGTGAAGAAATCCTTGTATACAAAACATATACAAAATGACACTCACTTTTCATATAGATCCTTGATTTTTCCTTCCACATCTTCATCAAGGACAAGGTGTTTGCCTTTGCTTGATACCACTTTAGAATCTTCAAAATGCCCCTCACTGCAAATCAAAAGCAATAACAATGGTTTGATGGCCAAATAAATGGCAAAGCAACGGGTGTAATTCTGAATATCCTACCTATCAGAGTCTTCCTTCCTACAAAACTCATCATCTGAAGTTGATATTAAGTTTTCCTTCAGTTCAATACTTTCCTTGCCTCTTTGGGAGCCCTCAATGTTGGCCTCATAAGGAACCTCTTCCCTGTGTTCAAATATGGAACTCATCTCAGAAGATGATATTCTCAATTATCTTTGCTCCAGTTATTAACTATAAAAGTCCTTTATGATTATTGCAATATCATACAATTAATGGATGGTTTTATGATCAGCAACTAAAGCTAAGGCTGTGTGGTTTCTTCTTTGAAATTTCATAACTTGTAAACTCAGTCTAATAATATATATATATATATATATATATGAAGAGAGAGAGGGGGGGGGGGGGAACTATGTAAAGTGTATGTACTTATGCTTATCTGGGCCCCGTGATATAACAAAGTCTGCTTCATCATCACCCAGAGCATCTGCTATGCTTCTGCGAACCCATCCTTTTCCCAAGGTCGAACCAGCTTCTCCATTTTCATAATCATTTCCCCATTTTGCACTCTCTCTCTTCAAGCTTCCAACTTCATGCAATAGAGTGTCACAGTTGATGTAATGGCATTCCCTGCGTGTTTTCCAGAAAAGCACTTCTACAAAAAGAAGTGGTTGACTCTTCATTTTTCTCAGCATTCTCCTAACTAAGCTTGTCAAAAATAACACAATATCTTCATAGTCCTTGCATGGATTGGACTTCTGCTCAGCAAGGATATTGTAAAATGTATTGAGGAGTGATAACTGCAAAATTTGAGGAAGACAAGCACATAAAAATTATGACCATCTTTGGATTCCAAACAGTTGAAGATAAACTCTGTCCGTATTTTACCTGATATAGCATGGGTGAAAGCTCTAGATCATTGCAAATTTTCTGAAGCATGCATATAATATAGTGGTTCGTACCTCTGGCATTGCTTTTATAAAACTTTAGCAACCAGCACAAAATTTCGAATAATGGTGGTGTTTGCAAGGGCAGATACCAAAGTAGATAAGTTAAAATCAACTTCATCAGTCGCAGCTAGCTGCTCATCACCAGAGAATCAACAATTCCGTCATAAGGATCACCATGATTTTCATGGTCAGACCCTTTATTTTTTGTTTCCTGAAGGTTGCTTTCATGATCAGGTTTTTTTGTCTCATCATTTCCAGACTCCTTAATATTAGAGATTCCTTTGCCTTTTGCTTCCAGACTGGGATTTATTAACTTCTCTTGAGAAAGAAGGCATGAAGGTGCTGATTCTTCACAATTACCAACCTCATTTTGAGGGAGACCATGATTTCCTTCTGGTTGTTCATTTTTATTACTCTTGTCACTCAACATTTTCTTTGTTCTCTTCTTCCTTGACTTCCTAGAAAACCTGAAGTCAAAAGAAAAAAAGGGAACTCAGATAAGATGCTCAAAAGAGAAACAGAAGGCAGAAGAATGCAACATCCTTATGGGAATGCACCTTCACATGATTGTAAAAGTCAGCCCAATACTTAAAGCAAAAATAGAGAGCAAATAGAGAGCAAAGTATAGAACTTAGAATATACCACATAAATCATAAATGAATGTGGTAGATGCATTCTTGCAGTAATATCATGAGGAGGGAATTCATAGAATCATAAGACCTAGAATCATCATCATTATTCGACTGCATAAAGGCATAAGATAATTATGTGTATCAGAGAACCACAAGCATGGCTTTGGCGATGCTGACATCTAGATATATTCAATGTCAGAAAATTTGACATATTCTGGAATATTGCTCAATCACGTGCACCATCTGTCTGGCATGCTGCCTAACATCCATTTTTTAACATAGGATCATATTCAAGCAAATTCCTATACAGAACACAAAGAAATAAGTTTAGAACAGTGCATACCCTTAACGTCCCACGTGCTTGAAGGTTCTCCGAGAGCCGTATAATTACATGTATCGTTTCTACCAAATCAGCTAGATCACTGGTACCAAAACATGACAAAATTGCATCAAAAGAAGACAGTTAAGCAGGAATAAAGGGTAACAGTTTTTTTTTCATTTTTATTTTTTTATTATGGCCATATAGCATACATTCAATCTTCAAAAACTACAAGTGAACATTAGAAGGGGAAGGGAAAAAAGAGTATAGAAGTAAACCTCAATTTGCTATTTGCATGGAAAGGCTACTTCTGAAAATATTATAGTAAAAAATAGCTAACTGAAAATTAGAAAGAGAAAAAAGAAGAACTGCATAATTACAGGTTTTTTCCATTTACATGGTGTAGGCAATTTCCACGAAATTATGTAGAACATAAATGTAACTTGTATCTGCAGGTTTCAGCTCTACCAATACTTGAATAAAGAATGGAGATAACAGCTTGAAGAATTAAATTGAAATTGGAATGAAAAACTGGCATATAAATGAGTATCCATATGTCATACAATTTTAAACCTTGCATACCCACATATTCATACATGTATTGACATTCAGTGGTACTATAAAGGAGGCTGATTGAGGCAAACTAGTTTTTACATGCTTGAATGTCCTCTAGTCAAGACTATTATTTTTCTATTATAATAAGTTCCATGTATGCAGTAACATGACATAAACTGCATGATTGTAAAATGGTAAAACCAGCTGTTGACATGAGAGGAGGTAAACCTTTTGGCTTGTTTGTGAGTATCAAACGATTTGATCTGGTTTAAAATGAACTGAGTCATTCCTTCTTCAGTTTGATCATAGAATAGCTTGTAAAGAAGAATGCGAGCAGTTTGAGGTTCCTTGGAATCTGCAGGCGAAACCTTAAGCACTACGTCCAGAATGCGAATCTACACAAACCAAAGCCATACTCATTAAAAGAGATTTTTTTGAATGCATTTTAAGCATAGCCCAGAGTAGGAAGATCTAAAAACGATTCATTCTTGTTTTACTGAGATGGAAGGAAATTCCTAGCCAAAAAAAAAATAAAAAATTAGGCTTAAATTGAAAAGGGTAAAAGCAGTTGAACAAGGACGGAAAGTGGGAGCAGGTGAAGAAACAGCTAAGGTACTCATGCGAGGGTTGGAGGCAGCCCTCAGGTTGAATCATGGGCTCAATATATGAATGGGCTATAAATAGTGTCACACAAAATACAAACTTTCAAACTTTTAAATGGAATGCTCAAAAAGACTAGAATGGATTAAGTAAACATTATTTGACTATCATGACTCATCAAAATTGACTAGTGGAAATCCTTCGTCTTCGCACCATAAGCAACTTGATCTACTTGCTCCAACAGGCAATAGTACTGAACTTTTCTCTGATCTTGTACAATCTATAACACAAATTAGATAAGGATTTTGAGAGGCATACACCATGAACAACAGAATAAATTAAACTCAAACAGATGAATTATAAATTATCTTATCAGCTATGCAGAACTTTTCAAGAGGCATGTAGATGGAAGACAAACATTTGGGAAATAAAATTTCGAGTTGAAAGGTGGGGAAAAAAATCTCTTAGATCACCATGGTTTTCACTAGAGACCCCGCTGCAGATACAAATTTGTAGTCATTTGTTTCCTTCAGGCCATCGTATGCATATCGCCACTTTGAAATGACTAAGAGGAACATTGCCTCATTCAAGGATGCTGCAATCGGTCCACATATATTGCCTTCAAAAATTGTATCAGCTTGATGATTTAAAGAAGCCTCACATGCATCAGCTTCTGCTTGAGGCTGTTAAGGCAGAAAGAACCACATAAGCAGTTTGGTTTTCATCAATGAAGGAAATAACAATACAACATATTAAAGCTAGCACTTATTTTAGCCACTAAAAAAAAAAAAAAAAGACAAAGCAAAAGCAGGAATCACTATTTGGTCAAGAAGAAAATCTTTCTAGACATTTGGAATCAAGGTTGTCATCATTGTTGAGATTCTCCAAATAGACGATTTAATAAAATTTAACTCATTTGTAAATTATCTCAAATTCTTATCTAAATATGCAGAAAAAGCTCATCAAATTTCAATAGTAACTTTATGTATTTGAGAGTTCTTACTTTATTATATTTATCTTTACTAGTGAATCAGCATAAGAAATTACAGAAGTACACTGCAACTATAAAATCTAATCCAATAAAATGTTACATATCAAGTCCCTTAGTAGATGACACGGATTCTTCTTCACTTTCTGGGCCAATATTATGTAGCTTCCTCCAGTAAAGCAATCATGCCATTGTCCACTTTGACCATCAAATTAACTTTGTAGCATCATCAGTTACTACAGACCACTACCTGCTCTGTTAAATATGCCTACGTCACCATTTATACTCTAATATCTCCTTGGAATTTTTGCCTAGTCTAGTTTTTACCTTGACAGTCATTTCCTTTCTGCTTCTGTCAATTGCATCCAACTCAACATGCTTGTGTCAGCTTCACTAGATTCTTCTAAATGTTTTTTGCCTAAGAGTAATATTATTCTATACAAAAAAAAAATGCAGTTTTTCTTGTTGCATGAACTCCCAAGTCTGCAGCATGAGATCTCATTCTGAACAAGCTTGAAATACTTCTAGGTCACCTTACACCAACGGTCAATGTTTCCTTGCATTAGCATTTTCGATCAATTACTGATGTGAGTAAACAACTATCATCCTCACATGTTAAGACAATTGAACTGACACATGGTGACCAAGGGATGAGAGAGCTTCAAAAGAATCTGTATTGACTCAGATATGAAGTTCCTTTTATGCCCAACCCTCTTTAACCCTCTGGCATATAAAACTTGGGAACCAGTTGAGTTAACAAGTCACACGAAATTACCATATCCTAGTAATTAAAGTATCTAAATAAGTTAAAGCGCTTCTGACAGCACCAGAACATAAGATGCACAAATGGAATAATTAATTGAATAAATAATGACATACTCACCTTCAAAAAGTATTTGTGATACTGAAAAGATATAAAGAATTGAGCAACCTGGAAGAACATCACAACATCACTGTTCTGAATTGCATGATGTTCCTTTTCAATATCCTCACGAATGGACTGCATTAGAACTGAAACCAGTGACTGCAAAGTGAGAGCATGCACCAGTACTGTAGGGTGACCAAAGAATGAACGGTTGAGAAAGACAAATGCTCATTCAATTACAGAAAGTATACCATTGTAACCCCCAGATAAAAGCTGGCTGACAAAATTATGGAGCAATTCTAGAATATTGCCCTTTGTTGAAGGTAATCTTCCATTATCCCAAACCATTTTTTTCAATGGACCTCGATGGGCCTTAGAAATCTTGAGCAGAGAATCACGAGTAGCTAAGCGAGGGTTTCCTTTAAATAGTGTTTTGGAACCATCCTGTTGGAATGGCCAACTGAGTTACTAAAGTTAGTAAATATTTACTCGTATGCATCAACAACAGCAGAAAAACATACCACACTTAGCTTTGTGAATGTTCCACTAAATTGTGAGTAGCGACCCAAATGCTGGAGTCTGGTAATCTTTCTTTTCTCTTCTTCTTCTTCCATGATTGACTTTAGACCATCAACAGTAGTGGCATCTCTATCCCCAACAATAGTCTGTCAGAATTCACAGAGATGCATTTGGTGATTGCTATTTTCAAGTAGTTGGATAATAGGAATAATGAGAGATTATAATAACAATCCATGTGCACTAATCGTGAATCAAAATGCAAATTGAGTTGAGTATACCGACAACTATTACATCAAGGTGGATGCCACAATCCTTTTCTCCCCGGTTCATTTCATTTTACCCATTTAAAGTTGGACCTCAAAGTGAAATTAAGATTTACAAGCTCAACATCTTAGGAACTCAACAAGTGTTTGTGTGTGGTTCCAATCAATTCCACAATACCAAAACTCTAAACTGCTTATATTAGCTATTAGTTCTTTTTACAGTCAACAAAACATTTAATATGATGAATTTTGACCCAGGCATTATTTTCTATGCCCTGCCAAAAGCAAAGACCAAAAGCAGTCTGGTTAAAAGCTTTCTAAATGTAGCATTACTACAATGCAGACTATTTAGAATGTTGATATTATTAAACAAAGTCTGGCCATCAGTACCTTTGAATATGCTTTAGCAATCAACTCTGGCGCTTGACCAACATAAATATAATGTATAATTTCCAATAAAAGCAAGTTATCTTCACGGAGATAGCTACTAGAACCACCAACATGGTGTGTTAGAACTAAGATCAAGTCCATCACGTTCTCATGGAACAGTAGTTCTAGAAATTTGTCTCTGAGGGATAAGAATTGCTGAGGAGATCCTCCAGTCTTCTGGAGCAGAGAGATGTCTTGGATGGCAAGAATGTTGCGAAATAAAGTAAGCACCAACTGAACTAATTTCCAATCATCTTCCGTAAATGCTTCACTGTTTAGCAGAAAAGTAATTTCCAGAGAAGTGACAATGACATAAATGAATGTGATAGCAACAAATATTAACCATGCAAGAGGCAAAAAAGTAAATAGAAAATTTTAAGACAAGAAAACAACTTCTTCATGAATCAGCAGGTCATCTTGATAAAAACCATGTAAAAAGCTGTAACATAATAACAAAAGGCAGAAGCTCATGAACATTCCACAGAAAATAACCCAAGCACTGAGGGACACATAAATTTATCAACCAGCACTGGCAGTCGCAATTAAGTTATTAGAGGAACTACTAGCACCAAAAACCCATTGCTGTTCACATTTTGGACAGGAACATGTTTATGGCTTCATTAATGGCAACATTCTGGAACAGATGCAGTAAAGAAAAATGCAAATCATTCTAAGGATATGATTGATTTAAATAGTTTTTGTTATTCTATGATTGCTTCATTTTCAAAGCATAAAATGCAATGAAATGTTTTAAATAAATACTACTCATAAAATCCAAAATATGAGCAGTTCAATTTATTTCCCAGCTGGAGTAGTAAGACTACTTTTAAAATCTCAGGTACTTTCTCTTGTAGGATCAAGGCATACCATCAATGCTACTCTGTACCACCGAAGTTAAGAAAACAATTTGTTTCTAGCATTAATAAGAGACATGACTGCTACTGACTAGGTTTTAGTAAATTTATACTTTCAATATGGTTCACTGCATACCATCTTATCAGATTTGATCAGAAATCCCGGAGCAGTTCAAAAATATCTTAAGAAATTTAAATCAAAATAGAGAATCTCATATTCATTCAATTATATGGTTAGTGCCAAATATGTTGAATTATCTACCTAACAGACCAACATTCCAATAATTAAAAACCCGCCACCCACAGCTTTAAGTCATTATCATTTGCCCACTAATTTTTTCCAAGTTTAAAATGTAGTAAGAAAGGAGAACAGGGAGGGAGAAATAGAAGATAATCAAAAGTAATCATACATTATTTTTATGTTGATCAGATATGTTTATTTTTGCAGCGCCATAAAAGAAGGTGGTAAAGGACGGAAATGGTTAAGGGCCTGATTAGCAATACCTTAAAATCCTAGAGATTTAATCCCCAGGCTTCTGGAGATGTTTGGCATCCTATGAAGTCTTAGGGATTTTGGGCTTTAAAAGCCCTCATTTAAGGTTTTGAGTCAAAACTCAAAACTCCATAATGGGCTTTTGTGATTTAATTCATGAGCCTTTTTTTTTTCCCTCAATGCCTTGATATCTCCGCAATTTATTTTTCTTCCACCAAAAAAAAAAATAAAAGAAGAAAACTTAGTCTGAAAATTCATCATACCAAACAACATCCTGTGAGTACCAATAAGGAAGAGAAATAAATTCATAAAATGAACAGCGAGGACCATAAGGAAATCCCACTTACCGTTCTAAATTTTCCAGTGGGCTCTCTAGAAGTGAGACAATCACTGGCACAGTTTCGCTACGGGTAATTGAAGACTTCAAACCCCAAAGATATTCTATTTGCTGGGGTATGTCCTTGGATGTGGGCTCAGAGGCATAGTAAGAAACACCAAAACCTTCACTGTAGATTATATAGCAGGAATGAGTAGAAGCAACCAATAAATCTCTTAATGGGCAATTAAAACCCATGCAAATAAGTAGATTATGGGTGACTACCTGCATTTAGCACCAAATTACGATCATCCTGGCAGTGCTCAATGATGGGTATCAAATCCTTGCCAACAATATTCCATCTACAAACTTGTTTGAACACATCTCGGGACTGCGGATCATCTCGCCTCAGAAACCTCAACAAGTCCTTCAGATTATCTGCAAGCCAATTGGGCGAGAAAGGAAGAAGAAAGAAAAGATCATGTAAGAAACCTATTGAAACAATCTAAACGCTGCCTCGCTTGGACCGAGGGCATTGGATAAACGACAAAAGAAATAACGGAACTCATTGCTTCAGAAACAAACCACCAGCTCACTTGTCTTAATGACTACTCAGGAGTAGTATCTTTCAGAAAGAACAGCTAAGTACATCTTTCGTCCTCGCATAAAATTTTTCGCGGCAAGCAAATAAAAGTAGATAATGGAGATTCAGGTGATACCTAGGCAGTATTCATCCTTTATGTAGCCTATCCGATTGCCATTATCGTCCTCTTTAATGGTTCCAAGACCTGCACATATTGTGGACAACCCTTCCATGTCGATCTGAAGTTGAAATCGTATAAATTAGGGTATTTGGGGCATTAGGGCTTGTCAAGATTGGTAGAAGGAAAAAACAGCTATTGAACAGAAAATCGAGAGAGTGATAGATATCAGGTGATGCGAGAGCTGAACTTGAAAGGATAAGCGTTTAGGGCATTAGATCTTCGCGCCTGCCAAAAACTGATCCCATGTTGGTTTTGGGCGTGTGGCGCCAACATATCCAAATTTTCCCGCGCTTCTGTGAGGCGCTTATTTCCTACCACGGCAACGACTGCAGCAAACCAATTACCCTGACGTGGCAGTTGGCCTGACGCTAAAGCTGTTACTTTTTTGGTAGTGTACCGCGATGAAATTTTGTCAAGAAAACGGGGATGTGAATGTAAATTTTAAAAAAATTATGTTTAACAGATATTTTAAAATAAAATTTTTATTTTTTAAAGAATTAAAATTTCATCTTTTAATAAAATTCTCATTTACTTATATAATTATTATAACATTTTTTGTTTTTTTAAGTAATAAATATAAAAAATTATAAGTATTTGTAAAAATATATATTAATATATTATATTTATTATTATAATATAATAATTTCTATAATATAATCTATTATGTTATATATATTATATAATTTGTTATATTTATATAATATAATGTATACATATATAATATAATATATATGTAAAGTGAATTTAATATTTTACTATTAAAATAAAAAAATTTAATTTTTTAATATGTCCATAATATATTCAAAATTATTTTTTTAACTTTAAAATCTTTATAATAAATGATATTTTTGTTTTTTTTTCTTATTTCTATTATAATATACAAAACATAACGATAAAATAGAATTTTTTATTTCATCAGTGTAGACTAAACATAATCATAAGAATTATAATTAAGAATTCTTATTCTATTTAATTTCTATTTTCATTCTCATTTATATTCTATTAAAAATCATTCTATCATTTCATGTTACGAATAAAAAATAAAATTTATAAATAATGGAAGTGAAGTAAAAAAATTAAAATTCTGATTAAACTATGTTTTGCAATCAAACATAAATACGAGATGTTAATTGTCTAAATATTAACAATTTACATGTACTGTACTGATTTATTTTCTACTAAAAGTTATTTATTTCCAGTAAAAAAAATAAAACCTACAAACCTTACATTATACTTCTTCCAATAATGCTAAATATTCCACCTCTAGGATTCTTTTAATGGTTTTATTTTTATATTTTTTTTAAAAGAGCCCTAACAAGGTCTAATTCCAGATTACCCGTAGATTTAATATTTAAAAAAAATTACAAACATCAAATCTATATTTACATTTATTTAAAATAAAAATCTTATCATCCTACGCTCATATTCTCGTACCCTCTCCTACTCAATATTCAGGACGATGTTTGATTTCAAAGACTTTCTGAGAAAGCATTTGAGTAAATAGCTTCCAAAAATGCCCATAATCATGTTATTACTTGTTCAAAAGGCTGTGAAATGAGGGGGGAAATATTACCCAAAACATATTAATTTTATTTATTTATTTATCTATCTGAACTTAACAAATACAGAACTACAAATTTCTTCTTTTTTTTTTTTGGAACACTAGACCAAGAAACTACAATATGAGAAAAGGAAATACATCACGAGGAACGCATAAATATGCCTTCAGTTTGGAGATCTCCTCCACAATCTGACTGCATAAACAGCAATCAAGACAAAAAGTTTGTCATACATGCTTTCCCAAAATCGGAAATGTGCATATCCCAAGACTTTTTGAACACCACAGTGAGGCAAACTCCCCAAAACCCTGCAACAAATCCGCTCCCTGCTCCAATAAGGAACCCGGGGGCACCTTGCCAATTATTACCTTCATGGTTTTCGTTGTCTCGCCAAGACGGTGAGCTACAACGCCCTCGATCTTCTTGGCATTATTTCACCAGTGGAGGTCCACAGAGCATAAGGTTTCCAGCATATGGTAAAGGACCAAAACTTTTGAGCTGAGTGCCAGAAGGAACTTCTCCAGTCAAGTCATTGTAAGAAAGGTCCAAGTATTGCAGAAAATTTAGATTATCCATGGTTGTGGGAATTCCGGCAGAAAGAGTGTTCCTTGAAAAATCAAGAGATTGTGACTGTGACATGTCTCCAATTTTTCCAGGTATGGCTCCGGACAGGTGGTTTCCCGACAAGTTCAAACAACAAGGTCCAGAAGACTTGTCATTTGGTCAGAAATGCTTATGCTAACTTCTTGCTCGAAAGGTCAATGACTTTTAACAGTCCCAGATTCTTGACAAAATCATATCCCCTTCCCTTCCAAATAACCAATCCATTTTCTGTAAAGTAGCCGTAAACATTCCCATTTCCAATGTTTCCAAGAATGTAAGTGTAGAAAATTATGGGTTTGTTAGAATTTCCCTTCCTAGCCAGTGAAGTTGCTGATGCACTCTGGTATTGGTCCTGAAATCTTGTTTTGTGAAAGGTCCAATGTTAGGATAGATGTAAGGTGCAAAGGCTTGGAGGTATGCTTCCAGATAATGCATTTAACCCGAGATTAAGTACGACCAATCTTGACAGACTGTTTCCTATCCATGCTGGTATTTCTCCTGTTAAGCCATTTTCTCCAACATCTATAAATGATAGAATTTTGCATTTGCTCAAGATGCAGGCAACTGTCCGAAGAGACTATTGTTGTGGAGTTGCAAGATTTGGAGAAATGACATCGAACCGATTGAAACAGGGGTTTCTCCATTCAAATAATTGTTTGCAAGGCGCAAAATGAACAATGAGGACACCGGTGTCCAACAATCTAGTATGTCTTCAGACAACATATTGTTTGACAAATCTAGAAGAGGCAAACTCCCTGCAGTTATATTGCATGCTGACGAAATGGATCCCGATAACATGTCGTAGGTGTGGGTTTTTAAAGTGGTTTCAAATATCATTATTATTGTTGTTATTATTATTGTTATTTTAAAATAAAAATTAAGAGAAAATTAAAGGGTCACAGATTGAATATAGAATGTATGTGAATATAAGATATAATGTATAGTACAATGAACTTATAGCCAAAAAGTTTGTACATGTATAAAATGGGTAGTATTTTAGGTATGTTAATCTAATTGATAGATACATATGACATTTGACTTGGTTCATTGATCTAATTAATGAACTCATTGTGACCATTGAGTTTTGTGACTCTTGATTTGGACATAAGATGTCTATAAATACTACTAAGATTCTACAAGTGATGCATGTTACGAAAAACTCACGCAGTCCAAAGGAAATAAGTAAATCAATTGTAGAAAACTTTTTATCATGATATGATGTGTATTGAGATAATTTAAGAAAATATTTAAAGAACCATTCAAAAAGGATTACAACTTGGTACTAGAGAAGTAAAATAGTCAAATAATTTGCAACAATATCAAGTATGATTTAGTAAAATTATGTTTTGGTAAAATGAATATTATGAGATTGATAAATTATTTTTAACAGTAGGAGAGGTCTAAAACCATAGCATTGGCAGGAAAAAAATGTCAGAGGACCATCAAACAGGTTGACACTTAGATCCAGAACACGAGCAGAAGATGATGAATCCGATAAGACACCTCTAATCTAATTGTGGGAGAGATTTAGGTAATCAAAGGTTGGAGAGAGCTGCCAAAACCAACTGGGTATGACATCTGAAATTCCATTGTTGGAGATACCAAGTTGGTTGACATTCCTTAGCCACTGAAGCCAGCCGGAAAACTGGTCCCGCAACTTGCAAGACCTTAATAGAAGAGTTTGCAATTGGAAAGGAGGAACCCCATTGGAACTCAAGTTCAAAGGTAAAGAATTGAAAGATAAATCCAGATGTTGCAATTTGGAGAGATTCGAGAAGTGAGATTCAGTGATAACTTCTTCAAAATTATTGCAAGAAACATAAAGATACACAAGGTTTTGAAGCTGACTTGTGCTTCTCGTCAAGGAACCATTAAATTGATTATTATCAAGGACAAGTGCTGCCAAGGACTTAGTAAAGAAAGGCAAGGATCCATTAAGTTGGTTATCTACAATACTCAGAATAAAAAGATTGGGAATATGTCCAAAACTTTCTGGTATGGACCCTGTTAGCTGGTTATTGTTAAGAACCAACGTTTTCAGGGATGTAAATCTAGTAAAATCAGGCAAAGTTCCATGGAATCCATTACCAGCCAACCTCAGGACCTCTAGAGCATTTGCTGAGCAACATGTGAGTAAATTGCCTACAAACACCTTAGTGGCTGAGATAAAGCATTGAATGAAAAATTCAAACACCGTAAATTGCACAAATTCCCCAAAGATTTTGGCCCTACGTCTTCAATCTGGTTGAGAGAGAGATCAAGATTTTGAGGAGAAGCCACGTTCTTAAAGCCATCTGGCAAGGAACCTCTTGCGGAGCAGTAAGAAACTGCAAGGTCAATAAGGTTGGTGCTCATGCTGGGCAACCAAGAAAAAATAGAAGAACTTAGAGTTGGATTAAAAGACAGATCAAGTGCTGATAGAGATCTAGACAAGTTAGAAAAAGGAGGGAGTTGAGAACTGACATCGTGTAAACTACATACCAGTAGATTCAAGTATGTTAGAAAAGGCAACATATTAATCTCTTTCACCCAATTGACGGCCATGCTGAGATTAATATTACCCAAGTTTAGGTAACTGAGCAAAGGTAGATGTGACAGCCAATCAAGGCTTTCGGCTTTTGGATAATTTTGTCCGAGATGAAGAAAATGAAGGCTCGTGAGATTTCCAAGTTGAGAACGAAGAGTACCGACCAAACCAACTCGAGCGAGATTGACGTACCTTAATTTAGGTAAAGAACTAAGCAAGTTCGGTAAGCCCGATAGGTTGAGAGAAGTGCCGCTCAGATCTAGATATCTCAAGTGCCTTAGTTCAGGCAGAGAAGTGCTTCTCTTACCTCTCAGAGGCTTGCCAAACTCGGAATTGAGATCTAACATGACAATATGATCTGTTCTGTTGCTACACTTGATTCTGCTCCATTTGCAACAGTGTGTTCTCTTTGTCATCTCTCCAAGAAGAAAGATACTTGTATTCATCGATGATTTCTTGCTTGATACAGAGGAGTGCTTGCCTTTCCTTCGCTAGGCACAAAATGTGTGAATCGGTGGCACTCACACCATGCCGAAAATTGGCTTTTAAGCAGTACCATTGAACCAGAACATCAGAAAAAGTTTAAGGGGCATTCCACCGGCTAGTAAGCTCATTATACCTCTGATCAAGATGAGCCGGATGAGCAAAATCTTGTTGCTTTATCTATTTATGGTCCCATAAATGTCTCCAAAAGTTAACTGTTTTGGTCAGCCCTATTTAAATATACTACAGATGGAAAAATCTGCTTCCTTATTTGCTGTGTCCCTGGTCCTGATCTCTACTTTGTTGGGTAAGACTTACTGTACCAGTTAGGACTGAGGAACATCGGTATATACGCTTCCATAAAATAAATATATAACAGATTAAAATTTTTATTTACATTAAAAAAAATTAGTGACCTTGTTCAACAAATACCAATGGTGGAGTGAAGAGAGCTGGAAACTGTATCTTTCAAAAATAAATAAGTCAAATTTTCAAATCAAAAGAACTGGCAGCCTTGACTGGATTCTCCGAAGTCGACCTTCTGAATTGGTCCAGGTCTTTCTTAGGATAAACAAAAAAAAAATTACTAGCATAATTTAAGATGTGTTTATTCTCATAATGCATCACCATGACTAAAGTTGAAGCTCCTAATCCGGAAGCTTGGGTTAAAATGTCATGAAAATTTTGGTTTATACTCTTTTCTTTTACCACGGTGAGATTGAGGCTTGAAACTTAATTATGTTTTATGCACATTTTTCATCCAGAAAATGTACTCTTAAGCTGTTAGAATTCTGCTTTGTTATGATAACATCAGTAAATAATTTTTTTATGCATACTAACTATTATCAGAAGAAGATTGCTTAAAAAAAGATATTAAATAATAATATTGTAAATTTAGAAGCCTACCTCTATTCTATCACATTTTTAGGCACATAGCATTTCATGCTCTCTCTCTTGTTCCACCTACCAATGTTTTTCTGTTCTTGTTAACATGCATTAGGCTCATTTTCATGCCATTTTCTGACAGTACATAACCATTGAAATGATCAACAAACATAAAAAGACTTCAAGGTGTGATAGTGGTGTTCTATGCTGAGTTTTCTTTTTCTATTTTCTTTCAAATAAAAAATATCAGCAGAGTGCGGTGGGTGGCTCTTACTTGCAGGTTAGCCTAAAAGAAATTGGTGATAGATGGTCTGCTTTTGGTCAAGTCCAAGAATTGAGTTGGTCTGTGCTCATTTTTTAAATTTCTTTTTACAAAAAATATCAGCAGAGTATGGGCTTGTGGAGGCAAATTAGTGGGAGCGGGAGGTTGTGAGTATGGGCTCATGGTATGAATTTCCATTAGTATTAGTAGGCATTCTGATCAGCAGATTATTAAACCAAAAACATAGCTTTTAAAAAATATTAAATCCATGTCAAATGGGCCTTTCACCTAGAACTTTCTTTGCAATGTAGCCACGGTTACAGCCTCATCACTGAAAGGTTGTCCCTTTTATTCCTCCATGGTCAGCTGGCTGTCTATTATAAAAAATTATCTATAACTAATAACTCCTTGCTTAACCTTGAGGAGTGCTCCCTCCCCCCCCCCCCCCCCCCCCCCCCCGCCCCGGTCATAGAACTTTTGAATCACCAGCACCGAGATCAAGCACAAAATCTGCTCCTATGCTGCATAATTGAATAACAAGCAATAGCAAGATATGTCACGGATATTCTGCTGGCTACTAAGCTCATGGCGTCTTTAAACTAAATAAGCGAAGTCTCAGAGAGTTCAAAGACAGCATTTTTACTTGTCAATTCTTCTTGGTGCAGACTAGCCTCTTTGTATTCTTATTCAATACAACCTAATCATTGACAATAGGAGGATCAAGACGGTCCAGTTGGAAATACCAATAGATTAATAAAACTAGCCTTCTAGTTCAAGAGATTCTAGTGGTGAATGAAGAAAGCTGGTGAATACTTTCATAAATTAATAAACAAATCATACATCCAAATCAATAGAGTTGGCGGCTAATCTGCCTTGAGTTCCACCCCCGGATGGCTTGGTCCAGATCTTTCCAACCATGAAGAAAGAATCTCTTCCTCTGACCATTTTCTCTGAAATATATAAAATATGTTTCCCATTAATAGCCATCACATGGGCATGTTTTTAAAGATTTATAATAAAACAAGATTGCTTTCGAAATTATCTACTTGTTACAATTAGCAGATTACATTAATAAGTTTGATCGTATAAAAGCCTCATATATTTTCATGATTAAAAGATTCGATTCACATGAAGATCATTCGTTGACTGTATATTTCTTTGCCGAAGTTCAGACATCATAGAATCTTCCTGATCAATGAATTTTTTATGGGGGTTTTTTAGACCATTCTTCATTAATTCCATTATTATCAGCATAAAATGTGTTCTTAATTGTCAGAATTGCGTCAAGCACAAAAAAAATCTATTCTGACTATATCTCATGTTGTTCTTACAATTAAGAAATCCGGTGAATCCCCATCTAAAAGGAAAATAATAAACAAATCCAATGAATTTATTCCAACTTTATTGCAAGTAATTACATGTTCAAATTTAAAGCAACTTTGTATTCAATACTGCATTGATCCATTACATGTAACAACTCTATTAAATTAAATTAAATTAATTGAATTGTGTAGTAGTTGTTACTTTTCCATCAGATAACTTTAGCGCTTGAGTTCAAAATTCAATTAATTTACCCATTACAATGCCTTCTCTAGCTGCCATCAGGTTCAACGCATGGAAGCAAAGACCTCGATTTGCATGTGATCATCAACTTTTTCTAACTCTCTGCAAAGTTGTGGGTATTTCTGGATTAGTCCTCTACTTGCTCTACCTATCATTGTTTTTAAACCATTCCAATAGCGGTTCAACTTCTGAGTTAATCCTCTCACCCACAGAATCTGACTACAGCACAAACATTAGCCACCTTGTGTTTGGACTTGTAAGCTCCGTCAAGACATGGAAGGAGAGGAGGCCTTACGTAGAAGCGTGGTGGCAGCCTAACTCGATGCGCGGCTATCTCATTCTCGACGAACCTCCTCCGCAGGAGCTCCTTCCTTGGCCTTCAACCTCTCCTCCCTTTCGAGTCTCCCTTAACTACTCTAAACTAGAACAAGAATCAAAGCACGTCGCCCCTAACATGATTCGGATGGTTATGGCGATTCAGGAGACATTCAGAGTGGGGGATGAAGGGGTGAAATGGTATGTCATGGCGTTCGACGATTCTATCCTTTTTGTCGACAATTGGGTTGATGTTCTTGGGAAATATGACCATAACGACTACACGTATATTGGAGGACAATCCGAGACTATTCTTTCAAACATGTTTTTCTCCTTTGATCAAGGTTTTGGGGGAGCAGGAATAGCTTTGAGTTATCCTTTAGCAGCGGCAATGGCGAAGGACTTGGAAGGCTGTATCAAGAGATACCCCTACGCGCATTCTGCTGATTTTATCGTACAGTTTTGTGTAGATGAGTTTGGAATTTCTCTTACTCCTGAGAAAGGTATTCATCAGGTAATTTTTATCATAGTTACATTGCAGATCTGGTTCTATTTCATCGTCATATTTGAGTATTTGACATTTCAAATACCTGTTCACTGACCATAAAAGTTAACAATGTTAGTTTTTAAGGGTAAAAATTCAATATGCACATATAAGAAAAAGGAATGGTTATAATTTAGCAAAGTTAAAATTTAAGAAAAAAATTAAGATATTTATTTTTTAAAAAAGAGAATTTTTTCTTTAAACATGTTAATAAGGTTAACCATTTATTTTACTGGAAGCACTTCTAAAATTGGGGAACTAAATGTGTTATCACAGGGACCAAAATCAAACCAAGATGGAGCTAAAGTTGTAAAAGTCACCCTACTATTATTATTGATTTACCTTAGGCCCATCTATTTTAATTAATTAAAGATGTGAATGATTGCAAGCAGATCGACTTGAGGGGTGATATATCAGGATTCTTATCAGCCCATCCACAAGCTCGTTTGTTGTCCCTCCACCACTTTGACTATGTGGATCCTATTTTTCCCTCCATGGACCCCATCCAATCCACCTTTCATCTCATGAGGGCTGAAAAAGTTGATCATTCTCGGCTTCTACAACAAACTATATGTTATGACAAGACAAGAAATTGGTCTTTCTCAATATCATGGGGATATTCTGTTCATATATACGAGCAAATTTACTCACGCACTATGCTCAAGAGGCCCCTCGAGACCTTCAAGCCGTGGGTGGAGAAGGCCGTGCCACCTATGTTCATGTTCAACACAAGGTGGCCTTGTGAGACCCCTAACGTTTTCTTTTTCGACTCCATTGAAAAGGCATCCAACGACTGGATTCTTACCACCTACGTTCGATCATCATCACCGCAATACCCACATTGCCCATGGAGTGGGAATCACTTTGCACTTCACATTTCCAAGATTCACGTCTTCTCTTTTACAGAAAAATTAAGTCAGGTATTTAAATTTTTTATATTTTCTGAGAATAACTGTTACTCATATTTGTTTTCTTTCTTTGTATATGAAGCATTGCTTTTTGTTCAACTTTGACAAAGGAGGGGATGAGACGACATTATGACAAATTATCAATGGTTGATGACTAAAACTAAGAGCCCCAAGATCAAATTGAGAATTTGATATAGTTGGGAGAGCGCCTATGTAATTTAGCCTTGTATATATTAAGGTTAAGAAATCATAGTGATTCATGAGCAAGCACAAAGTCATTTGTTATTCCTTCCAAAAGAGGTTTGTTATATGTGTAATGATCCTTGCATTTTTTCTCAGGTTGGAAGAAGTGAATGCTGTGACGTTACTGTACACGACGCAGGCAAGAACATCGCAGAGGTCAAATTGAGGACTTGCAAAGATGATGAGATAATTGCTTAACTGCACATCAGTGTGGTTGATTTGGAGCGGAAATTTGACGTCATGTAGCCGAGTTGCAACATGCAAATTGGAACTGGGGATGAGATTTTGGAATTATCAGTTCACATTGGTGCTAACACGTAAATAATTTGAAAGAACTGAATCGACCTCTAGTACCGCTAATCTTGGTTAAATAGAGTGTAGAGGCATGTCTTCTTTTACTCAGTGATCCATATACCATGCAGAATTTTGTTTTTCTTGATTAAGGGCGTGTTTTTCAGACTCGGGTTTTAAGGCTTCTGCTTGCTAGCACATATGTTAAAACAAATCAAACTTGACATGTAATCCCAATAAACTGGCTTGTGAGCTCTTACATGTTTGTTTAAATCAGGAAACATCCCTGAGCAAATGGCTATTAACCAATTTGAACACCAGGACGCAAGGCCATGTCCCAGGGTGATTAAGACAGCAGCTTTATTGATCTGTCGCATTTCCAACTGGGCCATCATGATTCTCTTGTGGTCAGTGACAAGTTCTGTTTGTCATTTATAGAATTACTAATCCAAAAAACTGACGAGGATTCAAAGTTACTATCTTCGTAGTTGGAGTAGTTTCCTTGACTTCTTCTGATCCGGAAACTACAGCTGTAGGTAATAAGACGGTAACTACCTATTGTTAATCAAATTGAAGATTTAATTAATTAAACATTTAATCTTTAAGAAAGTTTATGCAGAATACTATACCACCCTACCTGATTCCTAGGCGGGCCAAAAGGCAGATTGATTTTGGGAAGAATATGAGACTCCTAAAAATCACTGATCTTTCGGAAAACAACTTAACATGAAACATCCCTGCATTAGTGACTCTTCTTCTTGGTTCGGTTGCTTTGAACTCATCTGGAAATCATTTGACCGCTACCATCCCAGTAACTATAGGTGACATATCACAGTTAAAAGTCTCTTGATTTCTCAAGAAACAAGCTTTCCGGTGAAATTCTTCCAACCTTCGCAAATCTCAACTTTCTTCAGTGCTTGGACTTGTCCAACAACGACTTATCTAAAAAAGTCCCTTACGGCACCCAACTTCAAGGTTTCAATGCTTCTTCATCTGATAAAAGCCCAGGGCTCTGTGGAGCTCTGCTCTTGAAGAAGCGCCAGGAAGGAGAAACACCAAAAGGCTCACCTTCTAGTGAAGACAATGAAAACGAGACTGATAATTGGCGTGGCATTTCGTGGTTCTATGTTCGCGCAGGGGTTGCTTTCATTTCAGGGTTCTGGGCAGTGGGCTTCAACTTCATATTCAAAAGTTCTTGGAGAAGTGCTTATTTTCAATTTTTAAAGAGTACAATGACATTGTGTATGTGATGGTTAATGTTCGCCTGGCCAGGTTGAGGCAGAGGTTCCAAAACTGAAAAAAAAATTGTGAAAATATTTACTTTTCTTTGTAGTTCTTGCCGTTTGGAGTGTCCCATTCCTTTTATATTTTCATTTTTGTAATTTTTGATCTCTTTATTCATCGGAAAAAAAAAAAAAAAAAAAAAAAACCAAAAGAGAAAAATAGAAGGGGGTAATTGAGGATCAGGACAAAATCTCCTAAACTAAACTTGTTTGTCCAGCATATTTAAATAACATTAAAAATAATTTTAGCTAAAGTTACAGAGTTCTGAATCTTCTGACCAGAAATGGGCAACAAGAAATTAAATAAATGAGGGGGTGAGGGATGGAAGTAAATAAATTATCCCTCAGAGCAAGTCAATTAGAAGCCTAGATCTGTTTGTGTAATTGGAAGTCAATCCTCGCGGACCTAGCATAATGGCGGATAATTAAGCGGAGTCCAGGTCAACCCTTCGAGAGCTTGGTCCAGGTCATCCTGGAGATAAATAAAAGATTTCTGCTTCTGACTTCCATTATTAATTGTTAGTAATGTATGATTAGATGATGAAGATAGAATGAATATGTACAAGGTTCCAAACATTATTCTCTTTTTTTTTTTTTTTTTTTTTGGAACAGCAAGACTAAATTCATTAAAGCAATAATTAATCAGTAAGTGCCATCAATCTCAACGACACCATTCCCTAGAAGTCCTACAAACGATAAGCTGAAAAAACAAGAAACCAGCAAAAAGGCAAACAAAATAACCAACATGGCTATATGTAATATGAAATAAATGGTAATATACATTGCTGTTGGCGGCTTTCTTCATCAACCACTGGAGGCTGTTGGAATAGGCTGCTATATTCTTGATGTGTACAAAAATTTTAATGGGTCGTGAATTTATTTTATGGTGGTTTATGCCAGTCTTCCTCAATCCTTACTGTTATTTAGTAGACTCCATAATGGGTCGTGAATTTATTTTATGGTGGTTTATGCCAGTCTTCCTCAATCCTCACTGTTATTTAGTAGACTCCACGACCGGGTCCTAGTTTTTATTTTTCCAGCTGGATTGCCATAGTCGATGACTAGTTTTCTTTCATCGAGAAGCATAAAAATAACCAAATCAAGAACAAGAAAGGACTCAGAACTCTTTCTTTCAACTCTCCTAGACTTTCTCATTGTGATCAAAGTCAGAATGAGCCTACTAGCCGATGGAATTTCCCTTCAAATTTTGCATATCATTGTGGTGCATTTACAGTGCATAAAAGCCATTTTCGGGCTTGGCCTGGGTACCCTTGACTCGAAAGTTTTGTGCCTAAGCACTCCTCAAGATCAAGCAAGAAATATTGGATGAATATGGCTCTCTCTCTTCTTGGGGAAACGATGAAGAGAACATGGATTGTTGCAAATGGAGCAGAATCAAGTGCAACAACAGAACAGGTCATGTTGTCATCTTAGATCTCGGTTCCGCAATTGGACAGCAAATGAAGAGGTGAGATAAACACTTCTTTGCTTCAACTTAAACACTCGAGGTACTTGGACATCAACTGCACTGCCTTCAAACTAGCAACTATACCAGATTTGATTGGTTCTTCTTTCCCTAGATTAAGGTACCTCAACCTTTCTAGAGCTGGTTTAGTTGGCGCTCTTCCTTCCCAAAGTGGAAACGTCACAAGCTTGCACACTCTTGATCTAGATAATAATTATCAAGCTAAAGCTGAAAGCCTTAAGTGGCTCTCTCATCTCCATTTCTTGGGATAGCAAGACTTGACAAATTTTAACCTTAGCATGGCAGCGAATTGGGTACAAGAAATCAATAGGTTGCCTTCGCTAACACAATTGAGTCTAGCATTTTGTAGTATGACACATGGTGGTGCTCCATTTCGTCCTTTTAATTTGTCCAAATCTCTTTTGACAGTTGGATCTCTTATGAAATCCACTGATTAGTACATCTATCTTGAATTGGTTGCTCAATATGAGCACCAGCCTCACTGAGCTTAAAATGAGAGGCTGCTTCACGGAAGGTTCCATCCTTGACACTTTCTGGACATGACCTTTCTTGTGAATCTTGATCTCTCTTACAGTGCTATTGGATCCTAGCTACCAAAATCATTGCCGAATCTCTGCAATTTACAGTCATTGGATTTGGCATTTGATCAGTTCAGTCAAGCGCTTGAGGAGGTAATAACCAACTTGTCCACAGATTGCACGGCACATCCTTTAGATGATTTGCATTTGAACAATAACAAATTCATTGGGAGGTTGCCTCCTTTTACAATATTTTCTTCTTTGAGGGTACTAGATCTCCACGGGAATCAACTAAATGGGTCCATACCAAAAAGACTTGGAGACATGCCTAATCTGCTCGCTCTGAATTTGCATGATAACCAACTTAGTGGATCACTGCCTTCCCTTCCTAAGTCCTTGATTGAACTAGATCTTGGAAACAATTAATTCAACGGTTCCTTAGCTAGATGCATCCGTGAGCTTCCCAGTCTAGTATATCTATATGCTTCTTCCAATAATTTTGAATGAGTTATCAATGAATCACACTTATTGAAACTCTCCAACTTGAAACACCTAGACTTATCTTCCAACTCTTTAGCTTTCAATTTGAGTTCGAACTGGAATCCTCGTTTCCAATTGCAAACTCCTAGGTTGAGTTATTGTAAGTTGGGGGACAAGTTTCCCAGCTGGCTTCAAAGGTTAAAGAATTTGACATACCTCGATATCTCCAACAATGGAATTTTAGATGTGATTCCTAGTTGGTTTTCTCAACTCACTCCCACCTTTAACTATCTAAACCTTTTAACCAATCAGATTAGAGGTACCGTTCTAGTTTCACCATTTTTCTGTCTATGTTCTAGATCTAGGTTTTAATAAACTTGAGGGTCCCCTGCCATTTTTCCTCGCTAATGCTACCTTGTTGGATCTCTCCTAAAATATGTTCTCTGGAACCATCTCATCGGTGTGCAATATAACTACTTTCAATTTGGTTCGTCTAGATTTGTCAAACAATATGTCAACCAGAAGCATACCCTACTGTTGGACACCAATGTTCAGGTTATCTGTTCTACGTTTGGCAAACAATTACTTGACCGAAGAAATTCTTGTCTCAATTGGCTCCGTCTCAAGTCTTCGAATGCTGCAACTCCGCAACAATAGGCTCTCGGGCGAATTACCCATGTCTTTAAACAAATGACTGTTTTTAAATTATATAGATGTAAGAGGAAATAACTTGTCCGGACAAATACCATCATGGGTAGGAGAGATATTGTCACGTTTGGTCATACTGAACCTCCATTCAGATGCATTCTCTTGAAGCGTACCTCGAAGCCTTTGCCACCTTACCTCCCTCCAAATATTGGAACCATGCCACCTTACCTCCTCCAAATATTGCCACCATGCCACAATGCCTTGGCAATTTCAGTGCCATGGCTAAGAAGGAGGGTTCTATTGGTACCATTTTTTGCGTGTACAGTTACATGCATGTTGAGAATGTCGATTTTGAGGCCACCTACATGGCAAATGGGTCAATCACTTGGAAAGGAAGATTGGCTGATTTTGGGAAGAATTTGGGACTCTTAAAAGTCATTGATCTTTCAAGTAACAACTTATCAGGAAGAATCTCTACGCAAATGACTAGTCTATTTGGTCTGGTTGCTTTGAACTTGTCTAGAAATCATTTGACAGGAACAATCCCTACGACTGAGGGTGACACGTCACAGCGACAAGCTCTTGATTTTTCAAGAAACAAGCTCTCCGGTAAAATCCCTTCAACCCTTGTAAATCTCAACTTTCTTCAGTTCTTGGACTTGTCCAAGTCCAACAATAACTTGTTCGGAAAAGTCCCGTCTAGCACCCAACTTGAGAGTTTCAATGCTTTTTCAAACGACCCCATGCTCTGTGGACCTCTGCTCGGGGATAAGTGCCAAGGAGATGAACCACCTTAAGGCTCATCTTATGATGAAGACAATGACGACAATGAGGGCCATAAATGGCAAGGCATTTCGTGGTTCTATATTAGTGCAGTGTTCTGGCTAGTGGGTTTCAGCTGGATCCTCAGAAGTTCTTGGGGGCATGCGTACTTTGGATTTTTGGAAAGCACGTACGACATAGTGTACGTAATGGTTGCTATTCATGTGGTGAGGTCGGAGAAGAGGTCCCAAAGCTGAAAGGCATACGTGAACAGTATTTACTTGCTCAGAAATTTTTTGTTGCTGTTTTATACACAAAGGACTCACCAATATAATAGGAGAATGTTAAATCAATTCCCCCCATCTTTCACAGCTTCTTTTCTTAATTACATGGCGAGGTCTGACAACATGGAGGCAGGGAGAAAAAGGCCAAAAGGCTTTAGAAACTAACAGTTCTGGAATAACTTTAGAAACATCAAACCATATGAGTTTATAGCAAACATCATGGTTATTAGTGGGACTACCAATCTTGCAACAATAGACACAAAAAATGTATTCACATCATGTCTATGCCTAATCTTACGTGACTATTTACAGATGAACTAAAACACAATGCCACTAATGCACTATTTATACATGCCCAGGCTATTTTCCCAACTTATAATGTCACAAATATTTCAAGCTAAAGGAATGCTTTTGACCATGCAATCTAATGATGGGAAAAAGAACTTCGATTTCCCACCCAAAATCACCTAACCTTCAGTTTGAACAGAAATTCTTTACCAAGTCCAAATGGAGAGAAGTTGCTTACACCCAGCTGTGAGGCATAGGATACGACTTTCCTGGCTCCAATGGGTCGCCTATTTGATCATTGCTGCTTCCACCCACGCTGGTACTGTGTCCTAGCATTGCCATTAGGTTTCCCCCATGTACCCTTCCTTCCGGAAGTGAAAAGTGAACCAAACAACTATTTCCAACAGAAGCAACGTCCCGAGATGGGAGTTCCAAGGGAATCAACTGACGCCTATAGTTCGTAAAATCAATTGATGAATTGATATTTCCAGTGGTTTTAGTACCATCGGGGTGGTTCTTCTCTTTCATCATCTCCAACATACTAGAACATGGGCTATGTAGTGCATGAACCGATGAAGTGCCACCATGTGTCTTCCTGTCTTGCGCCTGTGCAGTGTGTGCAGCACATAGGCCAGACTTTCCCCTGGCAAATTTATCACAAGTAAGAACACCAACTAGGCCGCCAAATTCTGATCCTAACTGGCCCCAAGAGCAACGTCTCCCTCCACCATGTGCCTTGCAAAAATCAGTGCTTCCTTGAGCGCTCTTCCCGCACCCCTCAGATTTACATCTTTTGCCCCCACCATGACGAACACAAAAATTAGTACGTCCCCTTGCGCTCTTAGTGCATTCAGGTGCTTGACACCTCTTTCCCCCACCATGATTAACACAAAATAATGTTCCCCCATGAACACTCTTTGTGCACCCTCCTTCGAAAGAACACCTTTTACCCCCACCATGGCCTTTGCAGAATGGTGTGCTGCCCTCTGCCCCTCTTGTACACCCTAAAAATGTACACCTTTTGCCTCCACCATGTGCTTTACAAAGCATTGTGCTTCCTTGAGCACCTTTTGCGCAGCCAGGGTATTGGCAGCGGCGGCCACCACCATGGGAGATGCAGAGGCCAGAAATGCCCTCAGCACTTTTAGTGCAATTTTCCATCTTACACCTCTTGCCACCGCCGTGGCGGATGCACAGGCCAGACTTGCCTCTTGCAGCGCGAGTACAGCCATCATGGCTGCACCGACTACCACCACCATGGCCAATGCAATAGTCAGTGCGACCTTCTGCACTCTTGGTGCAACCAAGAAATTGGCAGCGCCTGCCACCACCATGGGCCTTGCAGAATACTGTCTTCCCTTCAGCGCCCTTCTGGCAGCCTGCTCTCTGACACCTCCTGCCACCACCATGGGCAATACAAAGTCCAGAAGCGCCTCGTGCTCCTCTTGTACATCCATTGAACTTACAGGTTTTCGCACTAGTATTATGCCGCTGTTGCTGCATTACCCCAGAAGCAGAAACAACTAAGCTTTTTGATGTGCTTACTACAGGACTGATAGTGCCATCACCATGGGCATTTGTAGCATGAATTCTGCCCTCCATGTTTTCTGCAGTCTGCAATGGAGGCAAAAGAGGCCTTAGTTTCCATCGAGATGATGTTGACCCCTCATCTATCAGTTGTATTGAATCATTCTTGGGTGTAGACTCCACATAATTGTGAAGTGAAGGGAAGCCTTGAATAACAGTAGTAACATCAGACTCAACAGGCACAGTTGACAGACTAAGTTCAAGGTCCAGCTTGGGTTTCTCCACTTCTTGATCTTTGGCAGCGCCACCAGAAATATTCATTCGTTTAGATGTTTTCTCATTTTGAATATGGTAGTTGTTACACAGACCAAGATGAACTGAAGGCTCATGCTCAATTTCCTTACCCAAGGCTATGGTAGTGCAACAACTTGAATCAGGGCCCAAACCAAGCACTGGAGCAAAGCCATCTTGCAGGTTCATGGAACCACAATTGGTGCTCCATTTTCTTTTGCCTCCCTTAGAATTCAAGGAATAAGATCCCATCAAGTCAGGGGAATCCAGTTCCAAGGAAGCAACAGAAGAGTAAACAACTCCAGTATCACCAAATCTCAGTTTACAGTACACATTGAGTCAAAATCACCAGTGAGGTGTCGAGTGAAGCTGTCCATCCAAAGTTAACAGAAAGAAAGCTTCCAACTCAAACCTGCTCACTGTTATATATTTAAACAAAAAAAAACTATTTTCCTGAATTCTGTAGTAGGGAAAGAAATTGAAATGTGGTCCAAGAAGCCTCAAAAGATTATAGCACATCCCCCACTAACAAATCCAGATGTATCGCAGCGATCCATAAGCGAATGAATAATTTGATTTAAATCACAAGCAGCAACAAAATATTAATCCACAATAACTGGTACAGTTCGTGAATATATTATGGTCCTCAGTCATCCTGTTCACCAGAACACAAATTTATTAGGGGATTAGTTTTTGTCAAATCAAAATAAAATGCACCAAAAATTCCATAGGAAGAGGTCTCAAGTTAGCATAAGCAAGAACGTGGCGACTTTCTAAAATTAGCAAAAATCCTTCACAATAAACACATATCCACTGTCCGATGATAGTAACAATGGTAAAATTTGGCTTCCCATCAAACAAGCCCTGAGGTCTGGACCAGAGGTAATATGCAGTCAGCACATAGCAAGACCCCATGCATAGAAGACAGAAATCTTTCTGATATTACATTTAATGAATATCTCCATTCGCTAAAGAAAGTACAGTTCGTTCACAAGCCAATATAAGCAACACTAAAGGAGACTGTTAGTGCACATAGGCCAAACCTCAGAAGAGCTAAAAGAGAGGGGGAAAAATCTACAGCAGAAATGCATGGCACAAGGTCAATGCTTCAAGTTGACAATCTAAAGGCTACCAGTATGCATGCCTTACAAATAAAAATGCAAACAGATAAAAAGACAAGAAAAACAAAACAAGTACAAGAAATATTCATTAAACTGGTCAAGAAAAGCAAGTAAAGAAATGACATACAGATGGAACGTAATGGATATCAAGAGCTTCTCAGAAGCTAGGAAAGTCCAAAGCTAGCGTCCACTGCTAAATATCCTCCTCTCAGAATAATCAAAAAAATTCCTACAATACAGCCTCTAAACAAAGTCCATTTTCTTAATCAATTTCATCTCTTTATGTGTTCTAAAGCTGCTAGCTTTTATTTCCCAAGTCAAAGCACAAACACTCTGCTTAATATGATATATCCTTGTCCAACACATGCTGGACACAGACACTTCACAGATATATATCAGACATGCCATAACTAATTATGACATTTTTTTAATTTTGGATTCTTGTGTTACTATACTTAGACACGTGTATCTCAGTGTATAGATACACATGTTTCTACACCAGCTAAGATTTACCCAACATTAACTTCTGCAAGAATGAAATTATGTATATATGTGTGTGTATCATGTATAATTAAGGAATGAAATAATTGCTATAAATTTATAGTGGTTTATGGTTCATGTTGAGTGGTTTTAAGTATTAATGAATTAGTTTGCTTACGGAGTGTTTATATTACTTATGCTCATTTTAGAATGTTCTAATTATAAATGCAATGAATACAAATATTTTAAAAACATATTTTTTATCTGTGTCCCCTCCATGTTGTGTCCTAATTTTTTTGACGTTGTTGGGTCGGTGTATCAGTATTGTTTCTGTACTGCGTCCTAATTTCCTTGTACAAGCTTCTTAAATTTTCTTGTGTGCACTTTCATTTTATTTCAGTCTTTCATCTTCCAAACCGTAAAACAAAAACATATTCTGCACACTCCAGTCCTTTTCTGTTTCCACCTCCCCCACCCCAAAACAAAAAAGAAAGAGAGGAGTTCTTCATTTATTTCTATCCTTTTAAGTTCAGATTGGAAGGAGCAAATAAAATAGTTTTGAAATTTAAGTTCAGAGAGGTCTAGTGCTCCATTCATATCTTCAATTTTAAAATCTCTCTTTGCATCACATGCACAAATTTAGAATTTTATGGAGGATTACACCCAATTGTTCCCATCATAAATAAAGAAGATCGTGATATCCACTATCTCTACAAATATATGACCTACATTTAATTCGCATACATAATAGCGCAGACAGGAGGGATAGTAACTTCTGAAGCCAAAGTCACAGCCTCATTAAGATGAAGTAATTAATGAATAAAAAGCCAGTGATACTGTTGCACTGCACCAACTAATTCACTATCTCCATCAAATTCCATCAGATCAAAAACTAATCCAAATAAACCAGAAAAACAAGAAATAAAAAATCATAACAAACACTCAAACTTCGCCAGGGAAGGGAAAATATTAGTATTTTTTTCCATAGCTCGATAAAGTCAAATACAAACACAGCTAAATCTCATATAATCAGAAATGTTGAATCTCGATTCTCCCAAATGAGCATCCAAAAGAAAAGAAGAAAAAAGGTGATTTTTCTTCCTATGGTTAGCTTCTGAGAGAAACCAGGAAAATAGCGGGAAGCAAGAGCGGGAAAGTGACAATAGCCACTGATTTGTGGCCAAGCTCTCGGTTTTGCTCCGCTCTTCCTCTGTTTTCTCGGCAACCAAACGGAAGAGTAAGAATTGCAGAACGTGGATAGGGACCAGAGATCTTACACAAAACAGAAGAAAAATCACAAATCGTAAAGCAGCAAGGAGAACCTTCAGAATTGCTCCTCTTTAATTGGTCTGCAGAACCATCGAGTACGTCGTTCGATGAACAAGATAACTAGGGCTTCTAGCTGCCGACGAATCCAAGGAGAGAGAGATGGTGGAGAAAACGAGGGGAAAAGTTGTAACGATACGAAAAATAAACGAGTGCGCACGTTTAGAGTGGCTGGGGGATCACCTGCGTGCTCGAGTATTTCTCCCACCATGGTCCCTCAATGATGTCTCGCCACGTCCGGCAGAATATGAGATGTCCTATTTTATTTTTAAAGTATTATTATAACTCTTTTTCTAAATTTAAATTAAATTAATTTCCAGACCTTTTATAATTTTTTTTTCTGAAGCACGTCCTAATTTTGTAAAAATTCAAACCAAATAAACTTATAATGAAAATTTTTACAAACCAATAATTAGATAATTACTTTTACGGTGGTAACTTAACTAATTATTCTGTTTAGTAGTCAACTAATTTTGAAAGTTATGAACATACATAAGTTTTTTAATCTTTAATAAATTAAATTTTATTATTTTTGGATTTTTTTAGTTAAAAATTCTTATTAGTGAATTAAATTTTTTAATCTTTCATATGTTTTTATTAACATAAAATTATAGATTATATAAAAAGAAAAAATAAATTACAAATTGGACCAAAAAATAATCTTAGATTGCCTTTGTAAATTTTTTGTAATACAAAATGCCATTTTCCTGATGTGAATTTAATTTATTTTTTATTTTTAGCGATTTGGATCTAATTTCTGTTAATTAAGCTGGATGAGAGCAGGAGTGGAGTATGGTGTCGTCCGCAGGGGAGCAGAATCTCCATCGCTCCGGTGATATATTTGTCGGGAATGGGACCGAACACTGCAACGTTAAACGTAATCAGTGACGTGGATTTCTTCCACATCTACGCAGCGGCTAGTAACGGCTATTGTTGCTGGGCGTGCAGTCGAGTCCCACGTTAAGGAGTCCAATTTGTCAGAAAACAGTGTTCTAAATTCCAACGTGATCTTTACTTTGCTTCGTGACTAGACTAACCCAGCCGCCGGAGGTAAGAGGTGGAGAAAAAATTAGAAATTTTTTTATTATTTTTTATAATAAGATAAATTACAATTTTTTAATTTCATTAGAAAAATGAAATTAAAATTTTTAATTTTCAAAATTTTGTCAGGTTGATCTATGGTTTTCAAATTTAGTACCCATTACACTAAATATAATTTATAACAATTTTAAAAAATATCCAAAATAACTTTTTATAATTTTTTATTTTTAACTTGTTATTCAGAAAACATTTTCAATAAAATTAAAATATACAAAATAAACACATTTTCAATCTGTTTATTATTTTTGTTAAAAATAAAAACAGAAAATAGGCAAATCTATCCGGGTAGCTCTGCAGATTTTCCAAACTATGCTTAGAGGTATTGGCAGGAGGGATTTCACAGCTCCAGATATTTAAAAAAAAAACTTTAAATAATGTAAAATTCCAATTTTGAATTTTTTTAGAAAATCTTAAATTAGGATATCTAATTAAAACTCATAATTTTAAAAATATTTGTAACTCCCACAAACATCCGAAACCCTAAATCTCTTGGGTGCCACGCACCCCTTCAGGGTGGTCCTCCATGCATATTGGATGCTTATATAATATGATAATGAATTTCACTTTCATCCTCCCCCATTCAAGTTTTCTTTTAAGGCAGAGGACAAAAATGGACACAAGCAAACAAGAGAATACAATCACTTGGGTTTGTTGCTTTACAATTTCATGTATACTTTTCATGAAAGGATAAGATTTTTCCCATTAAATATAAAAATATTCTTGCTTATCAAGCGGTCTGAAAGGGAAAAGTAACCTTTTTACAGTTGAAAAGGTTTGGTTCATGAACCCTAATTCTCGTTAGATTCAGAAAGAGCATCTTCTGGGTATTATTCCTTCCCAATTTTTCTATTCCTCCATCTTTACACTTCCCTTTTCCACTAGTTTTTTTTACTTTTTAGTAGTGGTGATCTGTGTCCAAACTTGGTGCAAAACCCACAAAAAATTTTAAACAAACAGATAAAAGTTCAGATGAACTTATTGCTTAATTATCCTCCAGCGAGTCATAATCAATCTTGCCAAGGTTGTCCTTGTGAGGCCTAGGACCATTGCATGGGTCACTCTCCTGCTTGACTGAGGCCAATTTTGCAGACTCAGATTTCTCCAGTCATTCCCCTGCTTGATCGGGGCCAATTTTGCAAATTCGGAGATTTCTTCTACTCACGATATATAAGATTTATCGATAATAGATTGTCAGTAATCGAGTCAAAATTTTAAGAATAGTGAAAATATCAATATAAATAAAAAATTTATAAATAAATGATAATTCAATTATATATAGAAGGATTAACTTCGTGAACTCTTCTCGAACTATATTTAAAATATTACTTAAATCCTAAATTAAAAAAATATCATTTACACCTCTCAATTTTACCATCTATATTTAAAATAAG